GTGGTTACTAATTTGACCAAAGAGTTAACTCTTTGCTTGACTTTTATCCTTAGCTGGTCTGTACTAATTTGTAAAGGAAGTCGTGGGATAAATATCTCCTTTGTAATATAATTACCCAATTTTAACCACCATGCACAATATATACACACACCGATTATCTGGTCCACTGGCTTGCTTTTGAATGAGGAAACCATATATTGAAGAGAGTGGGTAAATCATGGACAATTGGACACACAACAGGGGGGGGGGATCAATGAAAGCAAGAAAGATTTAGGGAAGAGATCGAGAGGAGGGTTGGACGAGTGGGATTTTGACAATTTTGATTGCAATAAGGCCTAAAATAAAAACTTGTTGGATTGCCCTTTGTGACCGACCCAACAATCTGAAAATCAACAATCGGCATTTTAAAAAAGTTTTTTTTTTTAAAGGCCCCAGCACTACTGGTAGCTACTTGCGCCCTCTACAATGTATATAAAAAACAATGCCTAATCGGTGACCATTGGTCCCCCATGATCCTCTTTTTCTTATGTTAACTGAGAGCTGAGTTGATGAGATAACCACCTGTCCAGTGACCTTGCAGAGCGGTCTAATCCCTCCTGTAAACTACGACAGATAAGCTTTAAACCGTTTATATTAATTAATACAAAAAATACCGGTATGTATTTTGTTTGTTTAAATGGGATATAAATGCATTACATCAAAATTATTCCAAAATTCTCACTCGTGCCAACCATGGATGATTATGAGGTGAAAAAGATATCAATGGAATGATGACCTTGAAACACATGTATTAAAGCATTAAAAACTGAGAAATATCAGCCAAAAGAGGGCGGGACAAAAAAAAGAAACAAAAAAACATTCAAATCTGAAAAATATCGGCCCAAAGAGGGCGACAAAAAAAAGTTTAAAAAAAAAAAAACTTTTCCGACCGACTGACCCATGTTTTGGCACCCAAAGGGCAATACAACAAGTTTTTATTTTAGGCCTAATCAAAAGTGAGTCAGTGAGAGAACAAATTCTTTAAAAATATACACATGAACTTGAAAATAGCCTAAACTATATAAGCTAATTTTCATAATAATAATAATAATAATAATAATAATAATATCCTAATAGTCCACTCCAAATTTTATTAAACCGAAACGGAAATTCTTTTTGCCCAATTGATCGTGAGCCCGGCAGCCACTGAGCAGCGCCAGATCGACGTTGCTCTATCCTTTATTGTTGAACGCCAAACAAGGTAGCAACAACTCCCATCTTTTAACGTCTTTTGGTATGACGCGGCCGGGGTTCGAACCCACGACCTCCCGGTTGTGAGGCGGACGCTCTACTGACTGAGCCAACACTCCGGTATCATAATAACTACATGTATAACAAATTCTCTTAAACTGCAACAAACTTACCTAAACAGATGAGAATATGCCGATGAGTGAAAGTGAATAATATTGTAGAGCTCACAGCAAAAAAATGCAAAGCATCCATACAGCCGCTCAAGTCAGGATAATGGAAGAATTTGGAGGTGCATGTATTGGATGAATATTTTGTGCAATATAAATTAGTGTATTGATTATAGTTATTACATAACAAATAAAAGCAAGGCAACACAATATTGATATCAGTTCTCTGTGTATGCAATTGTTTGGAAGAAAAGAAAATATTTCAAACTTTATTCATGGTGACTTGCGTTCTTGGACTTTCAAAGTCAATTCAATTTGAGATAACAGGTGTCTACACATTGTGCAGACTACTTCATAAAGGGACAGGAAGAAATAAATATACTCTAATTGTTTTTAGTAATTAGTGGTTATCATTGAGCAGGTAGAGATAAGAGAGCCCAGCGTGAAAAAATTAAATCGTTTGCATCAGAGCGTGTTACAACCACCGGTAAGTTGACGCTGGGATGTGAGAGGGGGAGGTTTCGGAGGAAATTGCTGAAATTTATCTGCACTCAATGGCGCGTCTTGCCCCATGTGTATAAGTTTGAAATCCATTGAGACATATCTGTAAACAAGCAACAAATTAATAAGCCTAATAATAACTTTGTGTCTCTAAGTATACAGCTAACAACTGCATTAGATCAGATTTATTTATTTATTTTTTATTTATTTTTTTTTTGGGGGGGGGGTTTTGTAACTAACGAATGAAATGTTGAATACCTTTAGATATACAAGCTTCAATATACCACATTCTCAAGAAACATGAATCGGGACAAATCCATTTTTCACATACTAAAAAAAAGAAGTAAACTTGGTAACGGTATGAATATTTTAGTAGTTGTTTACTACCTACATGTAATACAAGTAAAGAATTATTCAAAGAAGTAGGGGTCAACTATCGAGGTCACCTTTTCTTGATCAGCAACTTCAAAGTTCCTCTCTTGAGGACCTAGTGTTTTATAAAAGAATACCATCTACATGTAAGGACATCAATTTGAAATAAAAAACATAAAAGTTTGGTAACTTAGAAAATGCACAAACAAGTTCATGCCTGAATAAAATTTTGCAGTATTCATGTAATCCACTGGAATCTTTCCAATTTCATTCTTGAATTTTCTCTAAAATAGTTTACAGCTGAACTAAAGCAATTGCTGAATGAAGATGACATGTCATTCCATATCTGTTTGATGGATTGATGATGAGTTAATTGATGTACCTTAAATCTCATTACTAGTAGAATCATTCTATAGATAACTCTATTGAGATTATTTCATGTAGAGCTAGCAGAAAATCATCTGAAAATAATCAGACTTACTCACTATAAAAGCTCCTTCAATGGATGAATGAATTTTACTGGTATATTATAATTAAAGTCAACAAACCAAGCTATTCCATTCATAAATCATCAAAATAAAAAGAGCATAAATTATTACCTTACAATCACATACAATAATTTGATGTTGTGCTCTAGAAAAAACTTTAAAAATCCCATTATTCTTTTGACAAGTATGAACGACCTTCCCCTAGAATCTAATTATCATCTCTGAATGGCTGAAAAGGGTTTTCAAAAAAAGAAAAGACTTCAATTCTCTAACCTGTTTGACTTTCGTGAACAAGGATTGTTACAATTTCACTGGAGGCAATGACATACTTCTTTCAGAGAGCATTTGCTTGAAGGGTGTACTTTCGATAGTAAACTCATCTTTATAACTCTGACTTTTATTCATACAGGTACTTGTAGTTTAATTGATGGAAGCTTTTAAAAGTGAATGAACGAACAAGAATTTGACATGTTTTGCACTTAATTCAAGGTTTGAATGGCTGGCAAACAAGTTTTGTGCTTGCACGTAATAATATCATGTATCAAGCCCCAAGCATTCAACAAGAGTTTGACAAAAATGGTATTTATAAAATTGCACCATGCTAAATATTTTCAGATTTTTCAAGAGTGAGTAACCTATTTTCATCCTATCAAGTGAGATTGGCTTTAAATCAAAAAGTTCTTTGCCTTGTATATGCACTCTACCTATAATTAAACATTTGAACTTTGGTCAAATAAAAAGCAGCAGACTTCTAAATGATTAAATTTCCTAGATTTCTCAAAGAAAAACAAAATTGTGGTCCCAATACCTCAACTTTTTTAGGGTATCACATTTGAAAATTTGAAAAATATTCTCACGTCATTTGGCTGAGCATGTACATGTATAGTATATATTCATATGATCCATACATATCTAAACACATGTAGTATTATAAACATCCAAAATAGTTAATGAATTACATTGAATTATGGTTTTGCACAATCTTTAACAGCAACAAGACTGAAACATATAGCTAGTCTAAAAAGATAGGTGGTCTAGCGAGATAGAAAGTCCAAATGTCTTCCATTTAGATACGAGTGCCCTTGCACATCTTCTCAATTATCAAATCAAATTTCCTTTCAATTTTTCCGCAAGAGATTCATTTCAACAAAGGTTAATGGCCAATGGCCCTGGTTCAGAGACACCTATTATTAAACTGAATTTTCAGGAGACAGCTAAAAGCTAAAAATAAGTATGAAAGGAATATGGTTTGGGGTTCCTACAGGGTTTAATCACTATAAAAAAAAAGTTTGACTGTACAAGGTATCGATAGTACATTTTTTTTGCTTTAAGGCCTACTTGTATGAAATAATGAGGTATTATTAAAGACTACACATACATGTACATGTACATGTGTACAGTAAAACTTGTCTATTAAGGCCACTAAATGGAAACAGAAAAATTGGCCACTGTAGAAAGGTGTCCTTTCTAGACAGTTTATAATACTACACACATTTTTCTCAAGAGGGAATCAAATGCATGGCCACCAATCCCACCATAGACAAATGGCCTTTGCTTTATAGGGAGGTCTAGCCACTCTTAAAGATATATTTGTCGGTATTTGACATATTTCTTAATACATATTAATCAAAATAATGATGGTGTTTAATCATCACCAGCTAAAAATTCAAGGTATTTTGCACCACATCTCATTGCAAAGCAAATGTCATTATATCTATTTGAAGAACTTCATTCAGAAATGTTTTCCATGAGAAAAGTACTCGTTCAGTAGCATAGTAGATGTTCGGTCACAGGGAGGGGGGCACTGGTCTTACAAGGTGGACAAAATTAGGCTTTCACTTCTTTATGTTATTCATTTCCTCCTATTCTTTCTGTCACTCTCTCTTTCTCTTCCTCTCTTTCTCTATCTTTCTTTCTTCACCCCTACCTTTCTCTCACTCGCATTATTGGCGTACAGAATACCTGGTTTCATCAATAATACAGATATTTAGTTCACTTCATTTTGAGTTTTATTGTTTTACTACTTTCAAGATCTTTATTACTGGATTTATGCTAAAATTGTGGTAATAAGTAAGGTCTTTCTTCTGCTTGCTGCTAACTCAATTGACTTTTCCTCTTTGTAGTTGGATGTTCTTTTGGATCTAGCCCTGCTTGAGGTCTGTGTGAAATCTGCTGGAGGTCCTGACTGAAACATTAGTTGCAATACTTTTTAAGTTGCCAAAGTTGCCATTCGCTTTGCTCTCAAAATCAATTGGCTCTTCATTCTGTTAATTTCTCAAGTGCAACTTTCTTTTATGAAACTCACAGGCTTTTAAAGTATCGAGTCTTACCTTGCACATGCCATCCACACAAATAGCACTGTCCGAGACAATCCCACATGTAGTCCCATCAACTACTTTTTCTGCGAGCTTGACATAGAAACGATGACCTTTAGCACGGCAATTCAACTCACATGGGGCAGATGCTTCAAGACAAAAAGAAAGAACAAATGGATTAGTTTAGATTGTATTACTGATCCAATTTTTCTACGAATTCATTAAAATACCAACAAGATTTAACAATACACCCAAGCTATAATGGAGAACACAGTAGTTAATGTGAAATATTAGTAACTGAAACCTGTGTAGTACAGATCTAGGGAATTGGTAGACAGAAATAATTATTAACTAATATAGGGAATTCTTTTAAAAAAAACTGACATTTGTCAACCTTCTCCATACATGTACTGTATAAAGACGGCCAGTGGAGCCAGACGAAGTCTCAGCGGAACAACTGTCTTGGTATGCTTGGTAACAGACTGGTGGTGCAATTGTGTGCAGTGTAATTGAACCTTGCAAAACACAATTGAAAGAGACTGGGGCGAACTATCACCTGTCAAAATTGGAACTGCATCTTCTTTTGTTTGTGTGAAGGCTGAAGCCCCCGGTCTTTACCGTTTTAAAGTTCCTCACTTGGAATGTGATCCCTTGCCCCTTCCTGTTTCTGAGGCCTTCATGTGACCCCCCCCCCCCCCCCCCCCTCTATCTGTGACTGAAAAATCAACTCACAGATATTAAACAAATTAATTAACAATGTACTAGAGGTCTAGCATAGGCCTAGATTTAATTTAAATACAAAAACACATGAACACCGGCCGAATTGGGTGCTGCACAATCATGCCACAGACACACATCACACTCAGTCAAATTAAGCCCTTCCAATGTCGATCACCTACGCAAACTGATTTATAAACAAATTAACAATTTACCGGTAATTAATACACATCAGTTTTTCAAGGTGAAAGCATAAATCTTAGTTTCTTAGTCATCACTCACATTTCACGTCGGGGTCGCCATATCAGGATATAGCTAGGCTAATTCTTAGAGCTTTCTTATGGAGGACCTAAAAAGAAATGTTGACATGCGCGCTATCGATACAGCGCGATCGCGACCAGCAAATCAGCTGACCATAATGACGATTGCGCAATAGCTCGCCAGCTGAAGAAATAATTATTATAAAACGCTAGTAGCACATTAAAAAATATAATTAGGTCTATATGTGGCCGCCCCTGCAAGTGAGCTTGAGGTGAATTAGGTACTTACATTTGATGAAAGTCTCCCACTGATACATGTTTCCCATGAATGGTTCATGGTTGTATTTCTCGCACTGCTCTGTTCTAAAATCAGTACTTTCTTCTGGACAAGGCTGGAAAATCAAAACAGAAATTAAAAAAATCATAACATCACTAAATATATTTTGTTGGTCATGATTAGCCGGCAAAAACTGTCAACCATCTACAACCGCAAAGACTTTTGGGAATATTGTATATTGATAAAAAAATTCTGCTTATATTGCATAATCCGCTTTGAAATATAATTTCTAAAAGGTATATAGGACACAAGGCCTAATGTTGAATTTGATGTAGGTTGATTTTTTTAGAAAGTTTTTGGGATCGTATTCAAGTCAATTCTCATATACAACAAAGTCAAATTACATAATCTGATTGTGAAAAGCAACAAATATGCTTCGAAACCGCTGAACAGTTTTAAACAAAATAGGCCTACCTTCGAGAAGAAGAAAAAATCGAATGCATACTTCCGATCAAGAAAGTGTATGACTAAAAGCTTGGGTAATAGGAATACGCCAATCTTATCAGACAGTAATATCCCAACGGAAATAAATTCTTCCCAAATGTACGGATTTCAAAAAATATAATGTCTGCATTTCAAGGCCTTTTTCAGAAACTTGTTAATTTCCTAACCGCTATCTTGCTCCAACTAAAGACTTGTTTATGGAGGAAAAAATCAAAGGGACGCATACATTTTCATTGTTTGTTTCTTTCTTTATTAATTGTATTTATTTATTTATTTATTCATTCATTTTATTTCCAGGCAAGGTTAAACAAAAGCAAAATACAGATACAAAAGAAGTGCACGAAGATAGCCAAAAGGACATTAATTCCAGTTAAGTAGATTCTCCTCACTAGCCGGTGGTTTACTAACCTATTTACGATTATAATATATTCAAACAGTCACGATTTTATGTGTTGAATTCATATCATGACAAGATACTGACTTACCTTTGCATTGCACAATTTGTACTGCTTATAAAGACCGACACATTGGTTTGCACCCGTGAGCACCCTGCACAGAAAGAACAGATTAAAACAAAAAATGTTTATGATAACAGACCATTCAAGATAAAGTAGAGTTGTTGAGTAGAGTATTGGTGTTTGTATACAATCGTCTTGCTAAGATAATTATAGTCGCACGCACTGTATACAGATATGTGAAGGCCTATATACTACACAAACATGTGGCATGAAAGTTAGTCCACAATCTTTAGCTGCCTGTTACCAAAATGGAATGCATCTAGTCTTTCGTATTCTTTCTGCATGGCTAATCGTCAACGAATCAGAGTTTAGTCTTTTGTCAACTCGCTTTGTTGCTACAGCAGGCAGCCAGTGAAAACGAACTCGTTTAATCAAATTATGGAAATTCAAGCACTAATTTAAACAAACAGAACTATGTTATTCCCTATCATTTTTCCTGATTGAGGTGTCATATGACAGGGCAGAAATTGAACTTTCTAGAAATGTGATTTTCTCCTTGAAATTCAGATACCGCCCGCAAAATGACTTTTTGTGAAATATGCATCATATTATGAGTTACATCGAATGAAATCAAATTCTCGGTTTTGTTTTTTTTCTGGGGCGCACTGTATATATATTTTTTTCACCTTCATCGTCACTTGCAGGACTAGTTTTCTCATAGCTTTTTAAAACAAATGAATGTTCTCAACAATAAAAATCTAAAGAAGAGATGGATCTGCCCGAAAACAAGCCTGACAAAGTACTGCTGGGAACAGAATAATGCACGTGAACTTGCTTTATATATTTTTTCAAAATCTACTATTATTTTTATACATCTTTCACTATACACGCCCAGACGTTTCGTATATTCGACAGAAAATGCCTACAGCACAATCGTGACGGACCTACTTCATAAACAAAGATAAACAGCAATTGACAAGACACGATTTTTTCTCTTTTCTACATTGTCTTCTCCTAAATTACCCCGTATCTTTTAACAACCCCTCCATGTAAAGTACACAAAACAGTATGCCTTACTCTCTGTTTCGTTTCCTGTGAGTCCCCATCAGTTGTAAATTAGAGAAGCAAAACAAAGGGGGGGGGGGGAAAGTTGGCAATGGACAAGAAACAATTTTTCTCTTTTTCTACATTGTCCTCTCCTAAATTACCCTATATCTCTTTCTGAACGCACTTCATGTCAGGTACACATAATAGTATCCTTACTCTCTTTTCCATTTCCTCTGAGCCCCCCTCAGTTGTAAATTAAAGAAGGAGCTGGGGAAAACCTCAGACAATTGCCACTCGAAGAGGGATGACTCTTCTACCTGTGGCAACAATTAAGAAGGGGTCTCGTCTGGACCCCTCTGACTGGAAACGGAAGTCTCCTCTTTCGGGATAAAAAACCCTGGCTCCGAGAAACTCCCAGGTACTTCAGACTGGTGGCTCAAACTTCTCAATAAATATTTGTATAGTACGTATTTGTCTCTAATCGGGACATTCCACTAGACCAATAGATTATTTTCGTAATGTAATCAAATCTAATGCATACATCTTCGTTAAGTGCCACCTTACAAACTATTATATTATCATACCTAACCACAATATGATTATGTTCGTAATTCGCATTCTGAATATTGAAATATGATTAATCGTAGCATGTGAACGAATTGATTTGTAAAGAAGCACTTAACAAAGACGTGTGCATTTATATTTTCATTACATTACAGAAATGGCCTATTCCACTACAGACCGACAACCCCAAGTCTGCAGCCACAGACTCTGCATTGCCACGAGGCTGACACTGTCGGTCTCATAGGCTGTCTGTCTTCCAGGGCTAAATCAGTCTTGATACGTTTGAAAGCGGAACACAACACGATGGATCTTCACCACCTCTATGCTCCTATCGTAGCGCGTTCAGAAAAAAATGCATTGCTTATTTACTAACGACTGAGAGGAATATTTATAACAAATGGTAATATAAATAATACTTAATAGCACAATTATTACCAGTCCTATTCATTAATATACGACGCAAAAATACAAATAGAAACAAAAAAGCATTGTTGGCGTCAAAACATCAACATTTCCTTCTCGAAGTCTGATTCATATAATATCTAACTTTTACAATTTTTGACACAATATCTGAAGTCCAGCAAGGTTATGACCGAAAAGTGACCTCCAAAATCAGATTTAGATCACCTATTTCGTTACAATTTTCAAGACGTTAAGACACCGTTTCAATTCTTATTTCTTGCTTATGTCACGTTTACTCTGTTTTGCAAAGAAAGAAAATAAGAGAAAGAGATGAAGAGAGAGAGAGAGAGAGAGAGAGAGAGAGAGAGAGAGAGGGAGAGAGAGAGAAATTGAATGGATGGGACAAGGGGAGAAGGGGGGAAATAGGGGCTATATGATTTTTATTAAAAAAGACTTATCATGGGTAAAGAAAGGACTAAGAGAATTTGAGAGCTTGGTCGAAACAAAGTACTATAGTCTAGAATCATTCCATTGACAAGGGAAAGGGACAGGAAACAGAATTTAGGTCAGCTGTTCTTACAGGTTACGAACTCCATCACGTCACCCCCTGAGCCACCCCCCCCCTCTTTCTTTCCTTCTCTCTCTCTCTCTCTCTCTCTCTCTCTTTCTTCCTCTCCCCCCCCCCCCTCTCTCTCTCTCTCTCCTTCTTCCTCTCTCTCCTCCTCTCTCGCTCTCTCTCTCTCTCTCTCACACTCTCTCTCCCTCTCGTCTCCATCTTTCTTCCTTTCTTTATCTCATTCTCTCTCGCTCTCACTCTGCGTGTCGACCACCACTTGTCATCAGCTAATCAAGAGGGGATTTTTGGCGGTGTAACAAGAAGTGACAGGGCGTGTACTGGGGGCAGTGACCCAGGAGAGTAGCCAGGTCTATACCCCGTTCTCCCACCCCTCCGAATAGTGCATCCCCCTTGTCCGGTTGGCTGTACCGTAATTTGTCTCAATTCACATTCATTAGACAAGCAAAATTGGGATGCCCATAGCAGGTGACCGTATTAAAGCTCAGTCATTTACTGTGCTTCAATCTGTGTGAAGTTTTTAAAGAAATGATACAGTTTTGTATGTGGTTCACTGCTAATCTGTTTTAATTGGTAACTTAAGACGTCTATAATAATAATAATAAAGATAGATTTATTGAGCGCATAATAAACCGAAGTTTCTCTATGCGTCTATGCACAAAATAATGTCAACAAAATACTTTCTTATTTTGAATTTATCCTAAAATTATGAAAATGTGATACGTATGCATGTTAATTAAATGTGATTTTTTTAAATATTAAAGTCATCAGTGTCTGTGATAACAACTTCCGTTCTCTCTGCCACCTCTCTCTCTCCCACCCGCTCTCTCTCTCTCTCTCTCTCTCTCTCTCTCCCACCTTGCCCACTCTCGACCCCTTCCCCAACCTCTACTCGTCTTTCAGGTGGTCAGTCACATTTGAATCATTCTGCAGCTGCGACATAAAACTCGGTGAATGAATGAAGGGACTGAAAATGTGGAAGTTGTGATGAGAGAGAGAGGGGGAGAGAGGAGGGAGGGAGGGAGAGAGAGGGAGAGATAGAGGGGAGAGGCACAAGGAGAGAGAGAGAGAGAGAGAGAGATGTTACTGTTGATTACCACATTTCCTATCATGTTTTGTAGGAATTGCCCCTCCTCGACACGAGATCTCGGGGTCAATGGCATGATTGAAAGCCAGTAGTTGCCAAAGAACTTGTGAAATCAATTTGGCAATTCATTTTCAATAATAAGAGAGATAGTCAATGAAATATTAAAAGAATAAGAAGTAAAGAGGGGGATAGAGAACCCTATAGAGTCGAACCCTCGAGTAGCCTACCGGTCTAGGGATGAAGAAATGGAGAAAGAGGCGTCATACTCGTATTGATAGTGAATGACATTGGAGGGCGATGTTTTGTGTCAGTCCATGGTCAGTCATATTCTTTTCGTTCTATCAAACCCCTCTTTTTTTCTTCCCTATCTCTATCCTCCCCCCCACCCTCTCCCTATCAGGCTATTACACCTCGAGTTTTTTCAGCATTCGCTGAAAGGGGCACGACCCCTGGGGCTACGCCACTAGAGAAGAGGATGCATGAGAGGGGTGGGCGAGGAGAGAAGCAGATACAGAGGAAGAGTGAAGCAAGACAGACACCGGAGAATAGTAGGAACTGAGAAACATCATACAATTCATAGACTATGAACCATCAAGATAACTAAAAAAAATATAGCCAGACGATGAAGGAAAGTAAATAGGAAACGGGAGATGAGGTAACTGATAATGAAAAGAGGAGCGGCAAAATGTTTTATGATTTCTAATTTCCAATTGAAAATTGACAAGTGACTATTCCCGAAAAAATTCCATGAACTTTTCTATAATGTCAGACTTTTCTTTTAACTATCTTTTAATCCATTCTCCTTTTTACCCTTTCTACCTCTATCTTTCATTTCATTAATTTTTTAAAGCCCGTTTTCCCATCCCCCTTTTTTCTTTCTTCCATCTGTAATTCTTCCTTTTCTCTGTTATTTTCTTTGACTTCTCTTTTTTTCTCACTCTTTCCCCCTCATTCTTCTTCTACTTCTACTTCTACTTCTTCTTCTTCTTCTTCTCTTTTTCCTTCTTCTTCTTTTAATTTTCAACATCTCTTTCTTCTTCATCACCATCATGTTCTGATCTATATTGCCCCTTCTTTCACCTCCAGCGTATCACCTCACTCATGCAATATCGTTTGTGGTATTACATACAGGTGATTTAATTTAGTCCGGAATCCCACCTCCGTATCTCTCGATACAAGCGTATTACCTGTCACATCACATCCGCATTCATAGGTGTGTTTCCTCTCTCTCTCTGTCTGAGCATCCGACCTTGACCGTGAGACGTATGTCAGACTATTCGGTCAGACGGGCACTCGCTACCTGCAGCAGGTTGCCATCAAGTATAAGAATTCACTGACGAGAAGTTTGGTTAAATTAGTGGCAAGGTTCTCCCATCAACACAGGCGTTTCTCCTCATATGATTCAAACTTCTCTATCGCCCTATTATCGTTTGCACCATCATCATCATCATCATCACCACAATCATCATCATTATCATCATCGTCATCGCTGTCATCAATATCAACATTCCAACCCTACTTTGTCAAATAACCTTTCATATTTTCATATATCTGTACCCTACTCATATATTCTTCAAATGGCTTATATTGCCTCAGTAATAAGTGGAGCAAAGTTCATGATTCCAATCATTCCATATAGCAAATAATCTTGGGGATTAGCGTCTATAACTCATATTTCGGACATGACCCGTGGGCCGAATAGGATAAGAATGCGTCGACGGTCAGAGGCGATCGGGTTTTCTCCCTGCGTTCAGTCATGCGCATTGAAGGGTGATACTCCGATCAGATGATGTCAAACTTTCTTCTTCAAAGATTGCAGATGCGCATCGAAGAAGGTGTGACGATGTTACGCCCATTTTTGTCAAGATGATGAACGTTCGTCACCTTTTACTAGCATCAACAACTGCAAGGAATGGATATCAAGGCGTGATATAAAACGCAGCATCACGGTTCATAATAGTCCTGTTGAGTTTCAAATTACATCAGCACTTCGATATGGCAAAGTTGCAAACGTAAAGAGAAGGTTGAGTTCTGGGAAGAGGTGGAGAATTATTGTATTATGCAAGTGTGAAAGAACATCAGATAAAAAAATGTTCCCAGAAAAGCATGGCTCTTCAATCAACTAAACTATGGGAAATACATTTCTGGCTAAAAAAAAATGACGTCATAACGTTTGAAAATAAATGACTGTTGTGATGTTTCCCTATAATAATGAATTAAGTTTATGATTTGGTACTTCGTTTTTCATGTTTGATTAGATTAAACAAAGCTAAAGTGGAACTCCGGTACGCCAGCTGGCACCATCCACCTCTGCCTCACAAACATATTCCATGGGGATTCCGACATTGTAATGATTGCAAGCCGCTAGCCTGATATCCTACCACTGTCATCATCTCCAATATCATCATCGTCATCACCTCCACCACCGTCGTCACCGTCATGATCACTAACACCATCCTCATCATCATGATCATGATCATCATCGTCGTCATCACCGTTATACCATCACCACCATTAGTTACCATCATTACCACCACTTTGATCATCATCTTCTTCTTCTTCATCACCACCAACATCAATAATCATCATTTTTATTATCACCATCGACCTTATTACCATAATTTCCACCAAACTCCAAATCTAATTATGAAGTTTTCCTTACTGGAGTAAAAAAAAACACATGATCAAACCCTTTACCACCTCAAGCATCTAAGCGCCCCCCCAAAAAAAAAAATCCTTCGCTTAGGCCTACATACACATCAACTAAAAATAATCCCGCCCCTTCGCGCAAAAATTATTAGTCCAAAATGAATGCACCGGGGGGGGGGGGGGGGGGGGGTACTCACATATTAAGACATACGGGGGTGTGCCGCTCTAATGGGTAATTTTTTAACCTAAAAAAAATCCCTAAACATGGGTCCCATTTCAAACACAAATATCCCTAAACAGTGGTCCGTTTTTTCTAAATTTACACCCGATAATTGTAAAAAATGGGCTTTACTAGAGAAAAATCCACCCTTCATAAATGGGTAGGGGTTTCGAGGCTTGAGCGGCACACCCCGTCCAAACCATATCTGATTCATGTGCTAGTCATTACAAAGAACATTTCAAGTATGAATACAGGCAATATCCGACCATCCATCGGTATAGAAACTTATCAGACAAAAGAACCTGGGCAACATTAGAGCCTTATACTTATTGCTAAAAGAGGAAATACATATTGAGCGTCGTGGGAAATGAAAACACCCGACATGAAGCATATATATTTATTGTCCAAGTGCTTTCTATATTTGCTCTTGCTATTTTCAGTAAGAGTACGAAAAACATTCATGTTTTCCCACAAGGTCAATTTTGGCTGGTTCCAACGATTCCCAGTTGATCGTATTTTCCATTCCGTCAAGACAGCTACAACAAGGGTAATCTGTAATAGTTTCGATCCATTAAAACCGAAATTCGATATACAGAAGATGGTTTCCAGGTTGTCAATTTTTGTTCGTTTTATTTAAAGATTGGAGAAAAATCGACAAAATCCGCTTATGATTGGGGTCTATGCCGATATTGGGAAAATAGGATAAAGACGGGAAAAGAGAAGAAGAAGACGAAGAAGAAGAAGAAAACGAAGAAGAAGAAGAAGGAGACTAAGAAGAAGGAGGGGAAGAAGAAGAAGAGTAAACGACGATTAAGAAGAACAAGAACAAGAAGAGAAAGAGATGAAAAATAAAAAAGGAGAAGAAGGAGAAGAAGAAGAAGAAGAAGAAGAAGAAGAAGAAGAAGATGATGAAGAGGCAGGAGAAGAAGGAGAAGAAGGTGAAGAAGAAGAAAATGATAAAGAAGATGAAGAAGAGGAAGGAGAGGAGGAGGAGGAGGAGGAGGATGTATACGTATAAAGAGAGGAAGAGGAAGAAGACGTAGTAGAAGAAGGAAAAGGAATGAAAGGAGAGGAGGAGGAGGAGGAGGAAAAGGAGGACCGGCAACAGGAACAGGAGAAATGCAAGGAGGAAGAGGGAACCGAGGAGGAAGAGAAGAAAACGAAAGATGAAACAAATACACACACGTAAGAGGTGAGTAAATACGGGACAAACAATAAAGATGGGAAGAAAGGAGAACTGCATAGTTAACGGATTCATAATATTCATAGAAATCTAGAATCCAATATATGGAAGAGACGTTTTGAAACTAAATCCTGCACGGCGCCACATCTCAACGCCAACGTGATATCACAATACAAGAAGGACAATCGTTGCTCGCTAGTGTAATATCAAATCAAGTGGGAAACAATTTAGTTTTGTCATCTTCGACCTTGGTAATGTAATCATATATACCTTAGTATCATTCCTTGCATGGTTCTCAAATAATTTTGTGGGCACTGATATCTTTTTAAACCTTTCATCTTTGTTGTTGATAAACTTGCACAAATAATTTTTTATAGCAAGAATTTCAAAATCCAAAACGGGTCAACAAACTATACTCGTGTTCCGTTACTTACAAACAAATAAGAAACATTGTCCGACATTAAATTGAAGGAAAACGTTTAACCACAATGGCATTCGAACCGTTAAAAGGGCAATGATTAATCAATTAATGAATGAAGCTCAACTTACATGGTACCCATTCGCCTCCGCAGACAGTGTCGGGTTTGTTCTGCAACACCGCCCCCACACGACCTGGAGCATGTAGACCAGGGTCCCCACACCCCCCAATGTGAAATCATGTAGTCGCCATCTTTAATGCCGCGTCTCTGAAGAAGAAAAAACGAAAAGATGAAAATAACTTAAAGAGGAAAATAAGATCATGAAAGAGTGTGTTGACTGGCACAGTACTACTCGGCTATACAGTATGATGATGTTGAGTGCACAGCGTCTTCGGCAACTATGCTTTAAACTGTCCGAAATTAATGCAAAAAATAAACATGACATAATATGTACGATCGCAAACAAATTTCTAACGATAAGAAATAAGCTAGTCTAATTACTACTGGAATGAATATGGAAATATACAGATTGAGAACGGGGGAGAAAGAGAAAGAGAGAGAGAGAGAGAGAGAAACAAAAAGGGGCATCCATGAAATAAGAATGTGAGCGATAATATGTCCTCGAAAATTTCAACAAAACATTTCACATTCCACATAATCTGAAAACGTCTTTCTTAGACAATGGAAGCATTAAAAGAGAGTTTTATATTCAAATTATTTCAAGCGGTCGACAGCCATGAGGAGCCGGATTTCTCAATCTCTCATTTCATGCAAAGATACATCAAACTGAGGCGCCTTTTTGGGCAGCTCTCGAACCAAATTTGTCATCGTGCATCACTATTCGGTTGATTTGATTTCAAATCATAGCCTTGAGCGTTATTATATCATCACCTCAGCCTTCTACATGCTATGACATTTGAACGAATTCAAAACAAGTTGGCGTCTTAATGACGTCACGTTGACGTAATACGATAGGGGTTATTCGTGACGAACACAACAATGTTCTTTTTCAAGTACATTTGATTTATTTCTTTCGATGATCGCACCCAGACAAGAGGAAGTAGTGTAATTTGACAGGAGAGAGCAAGAGTCATTGATAGATTTGAGAGATATGGAGCGAAATGGAGAAAAAAAGACACCGATAAAAAAAGAAGAAGAATGTTTGCCGAATATTAGAAGAGTGTGATGACTACAGTAGATCAGTAACAATGTGATTTTATGATGTGTGAGAAGCGATGTCTCTATTAATGTGAAATAAAAACGACATACCAGACAAGTAATGAAAATAGAGACGTGTCATTTGTAGTTATGGGAGAAAAAAACACCCCTTTTAAAAAATGAAAGTAAGTTAAAACGACAAAAGGAAACAAACAATTAGAATGACAGAAAACAGAAAAATGTACTAACTGACTAATAAAAAGACTAGAATAGTGTTCGGGTCAAGTTGAGGTACTGCTATCCTGTCATTCTCCGTTGTAACGCAGTAATAAGAAATCTGTCATCACATCACTGTTTCTCTCAAATTATTTCATTATCCTCGTTTGAGGTTCAATGGCGTCATTTTCACCACACAACATGATTCACGTCACGTTTAAATAAAATGAGACATTAAATAATACACAGTTGTTCTCAGAGCGTTTGGCACTGGGTCGTGTAGAGTTTACGAACCACGAACTGTGATTGGTCCAAAGTTTTCTTACGTAATTGAGTTGCGAGATAATCTCTACAACGAGAGAGGGCGTAACTCCATTATGCGTTCGGAGTAAGATTGAACCTTTGTAGGCATTACGCAGTGCAAAAACAAATAATATATTCTACAGATTAATGATTTACTCGACGGAGAGGGTTGTTTAGTAAGACAGAATTAACTCTTGTGAATCCACACTGTTACTTCCAACGTTATTTTAAAATAAATGAGTAGAAATTATAACATGTGATTTATTTTCTTGAGTTAGATTTTGACAAAAAGTCATTGCCAAACCTCTATACAGAATCATGGATTTAATTTGTTTGAATGGTTTACGAATTTAATCATAGAAAGTTGTCGAAACAGATGTACAGCACCTCCAAAATAACGTGAATCTTGTAAAAATTGAAGAAAAAAATAATTCCACAAGTTTATTTTGAGATAGATAAAGCAGATTTAGGTACTATTTCCCTGTATTGAAATATTACTAAGCGATTAATGCAGTGAATGTTTAAACTATGATTCAACCAGGATCAACATCTAAATAGTCTGATAAGATTCATACATTATTCGAAAGTGCACCTGATCGTCAACCAATTAAATTTACTCAAGTTTTGTATATAAAACTTGTCCGTATTTTTCTTTCATAAAATCAGTTATCGTATCGAAGCAAGTCACGTTATACTTTAAAAACTTGAAAACATATGTGATTTTGTGTAGAGTATGCCTGGAATTCAGTGTACCATTGCCATTTTATGTTTCATCTGCACCGTTGATGTATCTATACATTCTAAGAATCATAATGTTTACTGATATGCAGTGAAAGATTTATTTACAAAATACTCGATAATATTAATAGTGCCCGTCAAAAAAAATTAAGTCATGCCTCCCTGTAATCTGTACTGTAGCATATTCACTATCTTAACAATAGTATTACAAATGCTTCACAGGAAGAAATATTGATATTTACCAAATATACAAAGTAATACCTTATTATACAAGTCGCTGAAAATGCGGTTAGAGCATTACGAAGAATCCTCTGATTGCAAAGTTTAGGAAATATGTTGGAAATACTTGGAATGTTTGCTAAATACATGCAAGTGTTGTACTACTACTTGGCATTACAAACGCAGATGTACATCCCAAGACATCCCTAAATGACATCAATCTGTTTGCAATAATCGCAGAGGAGTGATAAAGCTTTACCGCGTAATGACCAAAATTACATCGAACAGAGAGAACTTCGACTTGGCAAATTCTCCAACTGAAACTTCAATTGACGAAACAGAGTAACAACGCTGAGCTACACGTATACACAAGCACTGGATTGTTCCCTGGGAACGGGGAAAGGGAGGAGAAACTCAGTTGAATGACATTTCAGGAAATTAGGAGTGAAGCATCGCTTTTTACCCGGGAACTTTGGATTTTATCCAATATGGTACCTCGTTGTCTCACCCACATCAATCGAACGCTTCGCATCGAACGGCACGGCGCACATCAGGAAATACATCCAACACAGAAACTCCAGGCGGGTATTCCCCTTCCTATGGGATGTGCAATGATTTCTATCTCTTTCCACCGACCCCCCCCCCCCCCCCCCTCCTTCCCCTTCCTCATCGAGTCTCCTTTTTACCAAATAGTTGATGTTTCTTGAGGGAACTCTTTAGCAAGATCTTATCTATAATAAGTGTTTGAAAATCGTTTCGAGTTTTCGGGGCGTGCGTTGTTTACGAGAAATATAGAGAGTGTTTTCGTTTTTGAGATAAAAATCACGTTATAGGGATACCATAAGTATAATATTCTAGGTATCTCCCGAGGAGGCAAGGAAGAGGTGTGATGAAGCAACCTGATATACTCAACCTCCTTCATGCATTATCCTAAAAAATTGAGCGAATTTCTTGGAGGAACTAATTAATTTAGACATTGGCAACCATCAATGTGGTCTATATATCATTGGGCTTGTAGCGATTGATCATTGATACCTGTTAAACTTTGAATCATCGACGGAAAGAAGTAACGAATGGGAGAACACGAGCGAAGTTGAAGGAGGGGGAATGTGACATTCTGACCCTCCTCAAAGATTTCCGGCTAAGAAAAAGCAGGTTAGGAATCAAATGTTAGTCAAGAAAAACTATACTATAGTATACTATTCCCCCTTCAAATTGGTAATTTTGAGCGATGCCCCGTCCTCTGTAAAAACGTAAAATAAGGCCCTCCTTACTAAACGTTCATGGATCACAGTAAATTGAGATCATTTGCCCCGTCCTGAGGCCAGGGTCTGGATAAGCCACTGTGGAAGGACACAACTTGAAGTTTATTGTTTTGGCAAGTTTTCAGCCAATCTTTGTAATGTAGTGTATCTATAACGACAGGGGTAATTGCCCCGATGATTTGTCCCCAAAAAATGAACCGCCGTTTTCCAGCACTTTTTGAGGCATGTGCCCTCCTGAAAATAAAAAAAACAAACTGATTCCCCCCTGCTAGCCTGTACTTACCAAATTCCCAAATAGACTCGTTGTGTTTGTCGTTGTTTTAGCTCATCGTGATTAACTTTCTACCCGCTTCGTTCAACATCATATTAAGCAACATCATCATCATCATCATAAACATCATTTACCTTCTTATTCTACATAACAGTTTGTGACTTATGCGTCTTTTCCTCCTACTTCCTCTGATACTGTTTCCTTCTGTCATTCATTCTTCCCCTATCTTTTCCTTTTCTTCTCTTTTATTAAAAACACTATAATACCTCGCTTTTATATACCGCCCAATAACATCGATACAACGATGTGCCTAAGCGCTTTACAGATATATTATTACCCCGGTCATCATATTCTGGCTTCTTCTTCTTCTTCATATTCGTCTTCCCTTTTGTTGGGTAGTATTTTCAATTTTATCACTGTTCAATGTTATTTCCTACACATGCTCCCACAGTTCTCATTTACGTAGTTCATTTGACCCTGATGATTTTGCATATTTTGTATTTCAATCGCACTATTCTTTTTCATTCTCCATACTCTCTCTTCATTTTTCGCATATTTGTCGATGCCGCTATTTTCATCACACCCTGCCCAACCACCCCCACTTTGGGGGCCATCAACCCACCCGTGGCCTCCGCGGCCCAGCCACGGTGATCTTTGCCCGCATGCCTCGGCCAACTCCTCCGACTCAACGATGTCATCTGTCATTGAATGAATCACGCAACGGGTAACACGAGACAAGAACTTACGCACGTGGGACTACACCAAATAAGCTCGCCACTTTATTTCGAAAGTGATCCCTTTGGGTACCCGGATTCTAAAGACAAGCTTGCATTCCAACACGTTACAGTTCTCAGGGAACTTGAAGATCAAAGACGCTGGAAGATTTGCTGAGAGATGAGAGATTTTCCGAAACACTGCTCTCTTTCTTTAAATAGCCCAATAGTCATAATGCTTTGAAAATGTTTTTCAAATGCAAGGAATGTTAAGTTTCATATCAAACCATGTCTCAATATTTTGTAAGGCGTGGTCGAAAGAAGGGCCTCATTCTGGGGTGAAAGTTTGAAGGTTCAGACTCTTTGCATGTTGACGAACTGAAGCAAAAGGTCCTCGAATGTGGACAAAATATTAATTTATTGATACTCCGTGCACAATCATATTAAACAGTCAACAATACAATTATATTTGGTGTTGACCTGTCTCTCATCCATTTTTGTTCTTCTTTTTGTTGTTGTTGCAAGTCTTCTTATGTTCACTGATCATATCCATCATTCGAATCATGGACCTATTACGGATGGACATTCATCGTTTTCTTAACGAATTCATTGTGATTGTCTCCGTCAATGTCGTCTCAATAACATTCCGTACATGTTTCTTCCCTTTGGTCTCATCATGGTCGCCGGCAAAAAACCGGGACAGAATCAAGATAGTGATTGTACACATGTTAATCTACATGCGCAGAAGATAATTACTCGCCTAAATCATGGAAAATAGATGTGCAGTTCTGCCTTATAATCGGAAATTGTTATTCCGTGTACTGTACATGTATTTTTTTTTTGAAAAACATGTTGATATTACCAGATAGAGGTTATTTTTTGATTTTTTGGTTGTGATTTAAAATCCCGTTTCCCCCTATTTCCTCATAATATTCCAGAATTACAACGCACAGGGCTGATACAGATCATGACCTTCTAATTGTTTCATAAGGTCATAGGTGTGTGCGAAAATTTGCGAATCAGTAATAATACATTTCATATCACCAAAATCGTCTGTTTTTCAACTTTGCTGCTCCCCGTTGAGGATGCTTTTATTTAAGACACACTCTTACAGAGCACACCATCCAAACAAAACCCAAAGAGAGGGAAACTGCTCCTTTGTCAATGACCGAAAATGCTTACGCAGTCGTTATTGTTAAAACAGCTGAATGTTCTCATTAAGATGCACATAATCAGAAGGCGGCGACTATGATTGGATCAAAGAAAGAATCACGTTGAATGTCCATCCGTATTAAGTCCATGTTCTAATCCACTCCCTCCCCCTTCTCTCTCTCTCTCTCTCTCTCCCACTCCCTCTCATTTTTCTCTCCTTCTTCTCTGACTTTTCTTTCATCTTTGAATTATTTGATATTCTGTAGGTATGCTTCTTCTTTACCTCAATGTCTGCAATGTTCACCAAAAAGAAAAAAACTGTTCTCCCTAAAGTATATCTTTATGATTGGTTGGTTAAGGTCACCTGAACGATTCAAACTCATGTTTATCGCTATACTTTTCTTTTTTCTTGTCGTTCAGAGATCATCCCTTGTGGAAACGAGACACGGGCCTAACACTCAGTCATAGAAAAGTGTTATTTGAAATATAGTTGAAACAAATATTTTGATGATCAGTTAGATGTTGCAAATAAGATTAAACAACTAATCCCTTTCCAGCACATGAATTATATCAATTAACACGTTTTCGTTAGCGTTTAAAAGTCTTCTTCGATCGCTATTGTTCGCATTTAAACCTCGTCTGTGATGAGAGACGAGACTTGCATTCAGGTATCAAATTATAAAGTCATGCCAAGTGGAGGATCCAGGGTCAACATTATGTCATACAACATGACAGACGAGAAACACATGTCTATATCAACATACACCCGCTGTCATCACAACATTCGGTCCTAACATTAGCAGGGTGGGTAGCTGGGGTGGAGGGGGTGTGGGACCCCCCCCCCCCCCTCATTCAAAATGTCTGTAATTTTCACAGAATACTTGTCGAGCAATTTGGTTCGGACATCCCAACTTTTTTTCAAATGTTAAAATTCGTTAAAATTTGTTAAGATTACAAAAATAGTTGAGAGTGCACAAAATAGGTAACATGGATTGTCACCCCTTAATTGTATAGCAGCATAAGTTTGCCATTAACTGATGATGATATCTTATCTTGACGGCTAAAGATTCGTTTTCGGTAAGTACTAAGTTGTAACAACAAAGAGAAAGAGAGAGAGATAGGGGTCGATGATTGTGATGATGATGATGATGATGATGATGATATTGATGATAATGATGATGAAGAAGTTAACGGCGAGGAGGACGATGGTTTTGATGATGAGGATAGTGCGGGAATCGAGTAGGTCATGTGGTCTGCACTCTGCTCTCTGTTTTTGCCTAAAAACTTGCCTACAAACTGACTCTTTACATACTTTCGGACCTTGGTTCGAAGCCCGACCTCGCATCTAGACGTAAATGATCTTCTCTGATTAAAGCAAGCCACTTGCCCAACAATGACCGAGTGAAAGTGTGGATGACTACTACAGATCACTCCTGCAGGTCAAGTGCCTAACAGCTGCTTGAAAACCTCTTTCCTTCTCATTATTAGTATTAGTCAACAATAGTCCTTGTACGTTTCATAATTACGCTACTCTAATAAAGGTATTGATAATGAAGCGGATGATGATGTTGTTGATGATGATGATGATGATGTTGAAAGTGATGGTGACGATGATGATGGTGATGGCAGTGGTGATGATGGTGACGATAATGGTGCATGACGCCGATGCCGATGGCGATAGTGATGGTCATGATGTGAACACTCGAATATCAAAAAGATAATCATTTCATACAATTTGCCGATCTCCTTTAACATTAGGCAATGTTAGGTGCTAGTAAGTAAGATTATAAACCGTTTACATGTACTAGTCTTTGCTTTGCGTATGAACTGTGAAGGCGATTAGAAAACTCATGTGCACATAAATGTTTTTATTAAATAAACATTTGTTTTATATTGACATCCTGCGCGCTCATAATCATTCTACACACTCGACCGCAGAGCTCATTATATCATCAAGCTAACATCAACATGGAATCGCTGTGATGAACATGAACCGAATGTTTCGGAGGTTGGCATCCGAAAATGATCAGAATGTTGAGCTCATGAGTTGGATCTATAACGTCATTATCAGGCAGACGAAAATGATTGACATCAAACTTTGGGAAGCTTTGATGTTGAACGATATAGGTTGCCTTGGACGAGCAGTTATTTTTCTGAGTTGAGGGCAACCCTGTCAAAATAAAACGAGGTCTAAATAAAGAATACAAAGGTTTGAAAGAAAATATATTGGAAAATTGAGGAGACCATTACGTAGCGATCCACTCACTATGCAACTCAAAGCAACACACATAACAACAAAAACGCAAACAGACGCACACGTACACAAATCACTAAATTGCTTTATGTATAATAAGTTGATCACATACCAAGTATTAAAACAACCCTTAGTGAGAGTAAACATTAACATTCAGAACAGGGATCAATGCCCTTGCCATAAGTATAGATGGGATGGTTGAAGGTATGCTGTCCCATACGTTACCGGCTGTATCAATAATATAGTAAAACTGATTATTTAGTATCAACTTGATGGCCCTATCTTAGATAATATAATTTTAATACCAGTAAAGAAAAGTGTAATTTTGTTTTTATTCATGTTCTGTGTTGGAGCTCCGATAAAAGGCTCCGGCGACAATAATATTAGCGCCGGGCTTTAGATGACAAAGTTACGGTTAGGCAATGTAGGGTTGCGATTGGGTTTTAGGTTAGGTTCATGTTAAAGGTAAAGACCAGTATTGGAAACGCCCCAATTTCAAAAAATGAAATGGAAGCTCTCATTACCAATCATGTGAAAGAATATGTTTTGACTTATACATGATGATAACAAATTTGCCGGGAAACCGCCTACTAATTCATATATTTGGTAAATTTGTTTCTCTCATGGTCTGTGAGAGATATAGGGTAGTCCCATATAGTACATTTTTCTGTGTATAGTGCTTGTAACTTTACGAAGAATGGGCCAAATTTCTTATCATTTTGATGATTCCAGAACCTTGCAGATGCTAGATGCTAGATGATCAACCTTTTCTGATCGATTCCACAACGTTTCTTTCACAATGCAATCGCATGACCATAACTGGTCTTTACCTTTAAGAATTATATGGTTAGGGTTAGGGTTGGGCCCAGGGTTGATATTCGTTTAGTTTAGACATTGACCTAGGAGCAATATTAAATGGCAGGAGCCGGTGTCGTATAACCTTGATAGTACCTGGGGTTGTTTCACAAAGACTATTAAAGATCGACTTTAAGTTGGACTTAACTGTGGCAGGTCATTTGTGACATTGTTTGTTCTCACCATTCTGGTCTTTAGATAATATTTTTTCCTTCAATAATGAATTATCAACAAATGTAGATTATGTAAATTTGTGACTATGATTTGTACGTCCCTTGAAAAAACGATGCCAATAAATGATGAGAGAAAATAGTGGCATGAACAGCCTGCCATAGTTAAGTCAAACTCAAATTAAAAATGAAATATTTTATCAACTTACCCTTAGTCTTCTGTGTGATGACGCAGGTCTCATGGGGGACGAGATAATTATGAGGTAGAGAAAAGTCGCCAGGAAGAGTGTGATGACCCCAAGTTGTCGAGCCATTTTTCTGCAGAAATAGAGTCAAGAAAAACAACCGTTCATATCAAACAAATGAACAAATCTATAAGAGTGATACAGCGTGTTAAAAGGTATAAGATACAGTGAGGTAACGCTGAATGTTTGTAAACGTTCCACTGCAGCAGCATTCCACAGTTGAGATATTTATAAAGACAAAAAAGAGAATCGTATCTCGTTCATGCTGATTCATAGCTTTTATATGAGTATATGTTCACGCATATTATGTCGTCGGTATGACAATGCAAGCAACGCTGAACCGAATGTTCCAAAAGCAATTATTACAAATGTACGATGTCATGTTCAGAATACTGCTGACAAGAGAATGATTCTGAATTTCGAATGGAACTAATAACATGAATCAAACAATACACGGAGAAGAGGACTTAAATCCTACATTTCGTTGGAAAATGTTCAATTCCGCGATGATGGCTGTTCTGTAGGGATTTTGCCGGAAACAAACATTCGACAGCGATGATTTTTTTTTTTGTTGATCTAGACACTCTAACATTGATGATGTAGAGGAGCACAAGGGAAACGCTGCAGAGAAAGGAACAATTACTTTCGTGGAATCATCTCCGTGTTATACAAGGAAATGATTCTACAGTGAAAAAAAGCTTGTCTGATTATGATCTTACCATCTTATATATGCGAACCTGAGGCAGGTGAGCTCCCTTGGTGAGGGGTAAGGGTTGTTAGGACGTTAACCCTGGTCTACAGACGTGGGGAAAAAGCGCATGTCATATTGAAGGTAGACTTCACCAGTATTATTGAAGGCTGGGCAAGGGGGGCAATTTCTCCCTCCTCACCGATGCCCGACCATAAATATACAGATGCAGCAACATTTTAGGGGATCATTTGTAGGTCAATACTTGTTATTTAAAATTCTCAAATTGTTGCCCTCCTGATCGAGGCCAATTTGGATACGCCACTGGAAGACTTGATGAATATAACGATGATCTAAAAATCAGTGACACGACTGTGTGGCACTGGCGTGGCGTAGGTCCGGGTATTTTGGGGGCACTGATGTCATGAGGGCGGCACCGGTGGTCTTACAAGTTGGATGAAACGCAAGAAAGCCTATCCATTGAACAAGGAGAGGGCGTAGAATGGAGCCATTTGTAATTATCCATTCCAATTAGCCTCAACTCTCCCCCATCTCTCTTTCTCTCTCTATTTTTGTGTTTTTCCCCGCCATTTGAAGGGTAGGGGCGGGGGGCTCAGAGGCTCGATCACTGTATCATTATAGCTAGAGAGAGCTAAAGTCACGGCTTAAGCAGGATCATTAAAACATTCAATGTGCCCCTCACCAATGATATGCATTTGGTTGTTATCTGGATGGGTATTTCCCCGTAAAGATTTTAACTTTTCCTCAACAAAAATCTACATTTAGAATTTGTTATGTTTTTCAACTAATCGTACCATTTTCCTGACATGTTTATTTAGTCTAGTGCCCTCCACATTAGACTAAATAAACACTTTTCGACAAAAATCACTCAAAAGTTCAATTTCTTATCATAAGAGAAAGTGCGTACGAAAAAAAAATGGTCAATGACCTCTTGGAAAGATTTCTCTTTTGAAGATACTATAATTTCTTCGAAAGATGAGTGGGGAAGTCTGGAATCCCTATATCCATTTTGTTCATGATTTTTAATGATTTACCCATCTATTCTTAGGACGTGGATTGCTAGGATAATTTCCCGTACACGTGAATGATAAATGATTCTACAAGACAGGGGCGTCGAATATGACTTTTGAATGAGGGGGGGGGGGGTTGTCAGACAAAGATATTCCGGAAAAGGGTCCAAGAGATTAAAACAATGAGGGTAGGACTACAGCTTTGGAGGTATTCAGGGGGTGTCACACATCCCCCACCCTACCACACCGTTCTGAACGCCCCTGCATGAAATACATCCCCTAGCGGATAGTCCTCTTTCAAACTTGGCATAACCGAGTTATGGAAGGTGCTTTTTCATCAGGTAAATCGTTGATGATAGATTGTAGTCCATGAAAGCAAGAGAACATCTTTCTGAGTTCCCAATCAACCGTATAACCATCTAATGCGTCATGATGCTACATCGGAAATGATCTGTTCTTCCCTCCCTAATGAATTTCAAGATATAGTTTCGACATATTGTCAGAGAAACTAAAGAATTGAATGATAAAGGTGAGTGCTGGTCACAACTAGATTGTATTTTTAAATAAACTCTCTATAATTATGTTATCGGGATTCGGAAAAGTATGTTGAACAACAGTATTACTTTATTATAATGCGATCAATCGAACACAAATACAAGAAGAAAAACTGACATTGTCTTGCGAGCGCCTCTCCAATTCGCCCTGTAAATAAAATGTCATAAACTTTCATTTTTTTCGTTATTGGTCACAGTTTTCTTTCCATACAGGGGATGTAATAATTATATTTAGGGTGCATGTATATGGAAATGACAATTACAGATTTTTTAAAAAGCAAATGTTATAGGAGCTCGCAAGATACGTCACAGAGTTGCCAATTAGTGTTTGATCGATCGCAAGTTTAAAAATTCCTAACCTGATTAGTTTTCATCGAAATTTGCTCCATCTTTCACAGACATGTTCCTCTCATTTTGTTTTGGTTGCTTCTACCAGGGAGCATCTCCCTGCTTCTATTAAAACCAACTTAATATCAGCGAAACATAGAATATAAGGCCTATAAGTGTATGTTACCAGTAGACCAAATCCGATTGCCATTTGATACCTCTGCACGCTGTGTGCATGTAATAGCATAATTCCTTGAAATCATATAACAGGCCTACCTATATATTCCGGGGACGTATTCATCATATAAAACAGGTGCAATGTAGAGGCAAACATAATGATTCGGATATGTTTTTGTCATGATCAATAGACCAATCACCCTGTTTTTGCTATAGAGGTATAGGCTAGATTTCCACAGGGCCCGCTTTCTGTCTATTTCGACGGTACACCTGTTAAGATTTCTCATCGCGTTCTCTCTCTCTCTCTCTCTCTCTCTCTCTCTTTCCCTCCCTCTCTCTCTCTTCTCTTTCTCTTTTTCTCTTTCTCTCTCTCTTTCATTCTCTCTTTCACACTAATTTTCTCTCTTTCTCTCCCTCACTTCCTTTCTCTATCCCTCTCTCTTTCTATCTGTCTCTCCACCTCTCTCTTTCTCTCTCTCCCCCTCTATCCCTCTCCCCTTTCGCTTCCTCTCCCCACTCTCTCTCTCTCTTTCTCTCTCTCTCTCTCTCTATATCTCTCTCTCTCTCTCTCTCTCTCTCTCTCTCTCTCTCTCTCTCTCTCCTCTATCTCTTAATTTGTCTTGCTACCAATCCTTTTACTCTGGGTATATGGATATGTTATTTATTAAATAACATTTCGGTATTTCAATATTTGATTTTAATCGAAAATCTACTGTATGTATATCAAATATAAAACTAAGAGCAACTTAATTTGCCAAGCTATCATGGTATGTTACTCTAACCATGTACATCAGGTATGATTATATCATCACATGAACTATCGTTTAAATCTAAAAATGTAAATGTTTCTAGACTTTCATTCATGAAATTATCTTCTTGTATTTATGAAATCAGGATTCTCAAACCGACTAGCTGAGTGTTTACAATTTTGTTTTTGTGTTATGCCCTCCTTCTCGAGATCTACTTCTCAGGGTAGAATGAGTATGCAGAACGCGATAAGGTTTTTCTGCTGTTATTTTTTGTTTTCTTTGCAGACATCTTGGAGTATTTTCCTAGCAGCGACTCGTGTATACACCTGATAACCTAACTACATTATTATGTTAGTTGCAGACACATTTTGTTTCTAATGAAAGACAACTTTAGAGAAATCTAGCAACAAACAGAAAAATGCTGACATCGATCTGTTTACCATATCCCCTCCCTTAAACACCGTATGTAAATTCGCTAGACGAATCTTGTGGGAATTCATGCATGATTACGATAAAAGTGCTTGAGACGTATTTTAAATGGTAAATCTCGTAAATAAGTTCACACTTTCATGGAAGACCGACATTGACCAAAATAAATAGCAGCAACAACACAACAACAACAACAACAACAGCGAGAACAACAGCAACAACAGGAATAACAGCAACAGCCAATGTATACCATCGAACGTTGTAGGGCAGGAGGTTATAGGGGCACTTGTCCAACAGGAGAGGTAGATAAAATGCCTTATGGAAGGCGACCCTTTCCTTACACTATGCAACTGATGAAAAATCAAAGCTTATGATGTGTTTTTTTTTTGGTTATAGAAGGATGTTTACTTGAAACAAGATCTATAGGATCCGTCCAAACAATGGCACTGAACATTGTCAAATCACCATGGAATCCACAAATAATTTTATGGCATATTAAAGACCAAAGATAAATAATAAAGCATACTTTCTAATAAAAAATACATCATCAATATAAAATGTCGGAGGGTTTTAATAGCAATGGCGTAAGGTTCATCAAACTTTACTGGTTTTATAACCTAATTTCATAAACCATCATTCAAAATACACTTTAGATAAATTGCTTTGTATTCAAAGATGTGTTCAAATCAATAGTTTGTTAATAAGAGTAAGGATCAACATATTTAGTATGCACACAAGTTGGTCCATATTCCAAAAGCCAAAGGTGTTAGACTAAAAATAATTTAAGAAGTGTATTTCTGAAAAATGCGCATGGCCTGTTACTTTTTTATCAGGACGGGAAATAGAAAATTGATCATTAGGTCGCCATCTGGGGCGTACGTGATGATGAGCTCTTTTAACATACAGTTGTAGAGTGCCACTGGGTGTGGAAGTTTTCACTTAGTTTCACAAATTCTGAAACAAACTTGATTTCAGAGTGATTTAATTAATTGAAATGTTTGGCCTTGCTCGATTACTCTCCTTTCCCGAAATGTGAAGGGAATAGGCTATACCTATGCATAAATATTGGGTAACTGTGACAACGTGCATAATGGTGTATACAGTATAGCGCCGCGGCTTGTGCAGCACAGGGGGAGTTTCACAA